CCCACATGTATATGTATATGTATGTTGTATGTTGCGTATGTACCCTTGGGGTCTCCTCCTCGATGTAGCCATGTATTTCTGCATGCGGTGTAAGCTATACTCCGCACGCAGAGGACAATACAAAGCAGAGCAAGGGACGAAGCATCCATCCGTTATCTCCATACTAGAAAGCACGAAGGGCTGATCTGCTTCCACGCCCGGAAGCGAGCAACATCGCCGTGTATGATCATTATTAGTGTCGTCGTTTTCGTCAAGGGAGGGGTGTGAACCGTGTGATTATCAACCCGTACAAATTCGTTGACTTGACATGTAGTTCTATCCTTATGATAGCCGCTCAAAGAAGCAAAGAAAGAAAAAGAAAAGAGAAAAAAAAAAAAAAAAAAGAAATGCCCAGATTCCTAACTAGCTCGGGAACTCACTGACTGTCACAGATCACTTTTCTTCCTTCTGCCCTTTTCCGCTTCTAACCTGCCCATCTCTCACCCCCGTATCACAGTGCTTATCCCTTACAATCATCACCATTGTGAATGGATCGCAAATCCCACCCTGCCAATGACCAGGGTCAGAATAATAATAATACCAAGAAAACGAACCAAAAATTATTATTAGTTATTGCCGAAGTAGTTAATTGTATCATTATGATCCATATCGTATCTTGAAACCTGCTCGTCCCCCCTGCGATGGAAGCTAGTTAGTTATGCCTGGCTAGTGTGTCTGCAGCCATGTGAATCATCGGGATTAATTCCTCTGAGGATGCTTCTGGCCTGCTGGGATGCGTAAGTTACATGCGGGTTTCAAGGCTCTTTTTGCATAGAGATGGTTGGGAATGCTGCGTACAGAGAACGGTGAAAGCCACTGCAGCGAGCCGCTGCCACTCTGCCAGAGAGCCCAGATAGATGGACAGACAGGCAGGCAGGAAAAGCATCCCAGCCCGGCCAGACCAGCGGCACCGACGGTTACGCCGTAAGTGTGTCCAAGAAGAACAGTTAATGTTGGGTTTGTCTGAATTGCTGGGTGTTTGAAATACACCCCACGAAAGCTTTGACAAACAGAAAAGAAAGCAAACAAGAAGTGACAGATCGCAGACCAACAGCATCAGCTTGCCTCCTCTCTCCCCTCTCCCGAGCCTGTTTGTTTAGACTTTGGCCGTACCCTGTCTCGCCGTTGTCTCGCCCACCTCGGCTCCACTCATCGCCTGCCTCCCAGCGGCAGCCCAAAACTCCTCCGGACGCCATCGTTATGGTCCCAGTATTTAGGACTCAACTCTCCCCGTCCGCATGCGTCCCGCCAGCCAGCCCTCCTCCTTCGCCAACTGCAGCTTGCTTCGCTCACGGTGCGTTCACTATATATCATCATCGCCATCGCCTCGTCGCCCGCGCTGCCATTCCCATCCATTCCCTCCCTCTCCAATTCTTGCCTCCGCGTTTCTGGGGATCGTCGCCTTCACCGCGAGACAGGCGATTCAGATTCACTGACTACAATTAATTTGCTGCTGCTGCTTCTCTCCCCTAGCTCCCTGTCCACTGAATCTCCTCTCTTCTGTTCCATGCTCTGAGACTATGTCTCAATGCGAAGGATGGACGGTGTGATTTTCCCTCCGCTTTCTAGCCCTCATCGAACTCGAA